CTGTTGTCGGTTTTGAAAGTCATTGTCAGTTAATTCCTGATGCAAGGATACATGATACGGATGAAATGTATTTATCTTCAGTATCCTCCAAACACTCATACGGGGAATCCCTGATTGTTGAGATATTTCTCGAACACTCGCATGTGGATTATGATCTACTGCAGCCAGTACTGATATTTGATTATTTTTTCCAGTAGCAGAAACTCTACGTGTTCTTTTCTTCTGTTGCACACTTCCGTCAGTAGATAATTGTTGAACAATTCTTACGAAAGAAGAACGCGATCGTACTCTGTCAGCAAAACGTTGAGCATACCAATTAACAGCAGCGTCGAAATTTCTCCCAGCTTCGCCATAAATGAAATTCATTTCAACTTTTTCTTGCTCATTTACATAATCCATGATGCCACAAGGAGGAATGTTAGTTCAGAAAGGTAAATCTTTAATAAATATCGGATCGCCTCTAAAGTACTGTAAGCACGGACCATGGAGAGACGCTAACAACAAATTGACGGGTGTGCCCTGAGACCACACTCAAAAACACTCAAATTACAGTCGGAAATTTTCGGAAATTAAATTTTTGCGATTACAGCTCCACCTATCACAAATCAGAAAAGGTTTCAGACAAAACTTATGTATTTTTGTTCGTAGAATCCGAATCTGAAATAAAAAATGAGGGTTCTTATTTAAGATTTCAATCCATCTGCTGGGAGCAGGGGGGCGCTGATTTTAGCATAGAATGATTCCCCGTTCAAAACTGTTAAAATTTGGTCTCAGCTCAATTTTTCGTACATTGCGTACTTTTTGAGTTATTTCAATTTGTCAAGTTAAATGGGACACCTGTATATAATTGTCACCATTCCTGTCCCCTTGTCGGACACAATTACGCTCGGAGAATATATTCCGCAGTCGTAAAGCATCCAAATTGTGCCCATGTTACTGAGTAAGAATGCATTTTAATAATTAAATTTGTTCAAAGAATTGGTTTAATTATTAAATTGCATCGTTTCCGGCGTGCAGCGCAGGCAGCGCGCGCAGGCGGAGTTCGGCGCGTGCGGGCGCGCGGAGCAGCGCCGGCTCAAGAGCGCGCTGGAGAGGGCGTCTCGCGACGGCCAGTCGGAGGAGGTGCAGCGGCTGCTGGCCGGGTGGCGCTGGTGGCCAGACGCCTACCTGCTGGACGCGCTCCAGGTACGTATCTGCTCTCAAAACATCCAGCTCTTTCTTATAGAAACCGGGGGTTAAACCGGCAAACGTGGCTCAGGGCGTCGACTGATGTGACTGCAGTGCCTTTGACCAGGAGATCCTTGGGTTCCAGTCGCGATGGTGGCAGGATTTTCGACACTAGCCAGACGGCTAGGTCGAATTCAGCCGTTGCTTGGAGGAGCATTCAAGCGGACGGCTGCTCTCTTTGGTAGTTTTCCGTGGTTTCTCCGATCAACACCAGGCGAGTGCCGGAGCAGTACCCTAACAAACGGATCACTGATTGCGCGCGATCTTTCCTTCCTCTTCGTTGTCCTTTCCTCGCCCCTTACTTAAACACGCGTGTACTATACTACCATACACGTTGGGAGCTTAGCGCTTGTCGCGGCTGGGGCGGAGTGGTGGGAGATACTTGGAGAAAATCCCCGCAAGGCGGCGTAGGTCAACGCCGAATCTCTCCAGCCAACGGGAGAAGATCACATCCAGCTCCCGCGATAGAAACATGCACTACACTTGCTGCACTAATAACCTGAGCTGTTGACGCGTCCGGAATCACTAATCAATCGATGGTTGAAAAATCGAAATTTTAAAGACGATATTATTTAGTATCCATGTTTTGTGCCCTTCGATTTTACGATTTCGATGTTTTGTTTAAAAATGAAAAAATCCCATAATTAGTTTTGTAAACGTTAAATAATCAAATAAATAACTGATGGTACTGACACTGCAAGTTCGTGCTTGTACCAACGAACTCTGTTTGTACTGTCTTCATCCAGCGTCCTTTGTTCTTACTTTTTAACGTTGTTTCCAGTTAAATCTTCATTACAAATTAGTAAGAAGTGCCAATGATTTTTTTTCGCCTACATTTATTGTTAGATATCACTAATCCACCTTTAAAGTATCAATATTTAAAACAGATGGTTTTTGGTCGATGTATTATTAACATCTGTGTTTTAAGGGGTGAAGGTGGAAGGTGTCGAAGCAGAACGAAGGGATGCAATTTTGACTCCACGAAAATTCCAAAACACAGAAAATAGTTTTGTTTTAATGTTACTACCTTTTTTTGAGAGAGAGGAAGGATAGGGTAGCTATTAGAAATCAGTTGGGAAGGTAAACAAACATGTGTATAAGAAATATTTGATAACCTGATTTTGGTAATAACTATTCAAACCTTAATTTAAATGTTATAATTAAGAAGTGGGAATAAGACAGGAATCATTGTGAAAGACATTATGTCTTTTGAAAAGTGAGTAACAAAGAATTATAGAATTACAAGGATCATTCTTATTCTAATGTAAAGTATTTACCATATGTAGGTGTCGTGTTTATTAATATTGAAACGCTCGGAAGGAATCTTTTAGGAACTCTTTTGTAGTTAGCACATGGTTTTGTTTAAGACATTTTTGAGTGTGTGTATGTTTATTTTCGGGGGAGGGGTGCATACTCAAGCTATTATTTTTATTGTATTATTTCTTAGGATATTTCTTATTTCCTTCATTGTAGTATTGTGTGGGCGTTATATCTGGTACTTTTTGGTTTGGGAGCAATATTGTGGAGTGATTTTGGATGCTAAAACTGTGTCATGATGTATTTGTTCGTGCCTTTAGACCTCCTTCCAATTAGATTTCCCTGAGATTATCACTTTTCGCAAGCTATTGTTTCAATTGTGGTCAGTCTATTAAGTTAGGGTATAAACAACAAAGAGATGCTGCACTCTTAATTTGATGTAACCACTATACGTGCCAAGCAGCCTTTACAGCTTAAGGTTCATGCTGGCCTTCCGAGAGCCGGGTTGGTATTTGAGCGGCAGCGGACCGAGAAAGGGCGATATGTCGCAATAGTTAATTCCAAATAATGGCGATTAGTAATATTAGTACAAAATACTTAATCGAAAGTATTTTAGATGACAAATACAAAATACGCCCCAGAAAGCATTTTAGATCCAAAATAGTATTTTAAAATACTTTTGAAAATACAACCAATTGTGATCCAGTTTTACAATTTATTTCTCAAAAATTGTGGTTTACAATTGCGTACAATTGGACAGGTTTCCCCTCAAATTTACTACTTTTTCAAACATTGTATCACTGATGTTTCTTCTTGTAATTGTAACTGATAAGGGTCTCATTCCATTAACATCGAATTCTATAACAAAATCATCAAACCGTTTCCTTTTCCCTGCGTATTGAAGAAACCTGATGTTAAGGTTGTTTGTTTTAACTTCTTGGCCTTAGTATCACTATTCTCTGTGATGTTCATTTTCCTCATATGTTAATTTGATCTGACGCACCACTCATTTTTATAGTTATCAAATTTTCTCATCACACCAAAAGGAATTCTCTGAAATATGTAAACAAATTATCAGTTTTCTAATAAAAAGATTGCAGTGAAATTCAGTCAATTGAACACCAGTGTCAGCATTTTAAAAATTATAATTATACTGCTTAATATTTTTAGCTTTAAGTGTGTCTTAAAGTTTGGGGTCGTAATTTAGGAACCACTCATTATTCTCTTTGGCAGGCTTATAAATTTCACATGACGCTTTCACTTTTGTACCTTGCTCTTCAATACCAATGAAATATGTTCCATTTAGAATAGCACATTTTGATAATTTATCAATTTCCATATTCAGATCTTAAGATTAGCTCTGTACACGGCGCACGCACAAGCTTTTAACCAAGCGCAGAACCACTGTCCAGACAGGCAATGATGCATTATGTGCCAATATAACGTCTGTGAAGTGGTCTCCAAAATCCCTTTATCGATATCTCGAAGTGACTCCGAAAATAAATTTTCTTCGATTAACCAAAATTTTGAGTTATTAAAAACTTTCTTTTAAATTCTGCTGCTTGAAATGAAAAATTGCCTCAAAATATTTTTAAAAAAATGTTATGGACGTCTCGTGTTTTTCAGTTTTGACTGTATATTGAAATTCACATTTTCAACGGCGGATTAATAAAAAGTATGTTTGTATTTTGAAAATAAAGAATACTATCAGAAAGTATTTTCAATAGCAATTCAAAATACAAGTTCAATGTATTTTCGGTACAAAATACAAATTACACTAGAATCGAAAATATGTATTTTAAATACAAGTATTTTCGATACTACCCAACTCTGAATATCATTACTACTAAGTCATAAATTCCAATAATTTAAATACTGCCACAATAAGGATATTCTTTTTTAAAAAGTTTATTTATCAAAGATATCAAGAAAATCTAGATAGGGGTGCTTTCTCATTTTTGTTGTTTGTGGAAATTCTTTGCTCAATGTTATTTCTATGGTTTAGTACTACCTTTTCTACTGCCATTATATAATTCTGTGAGTTAATGGCTGCAACTTGTTGCATAATGATACTCATTACGGTACAGATTTCATCATGTTGCAGGTTTTAGACCAATCACAAGTAGCAAGACTTACTTGTGGTTCGTTCTAGTAAAGGTTGCCTTCCATTTTATCATTATTTTTTTTTCCTGGAATATTATATAAAATAATCTGGATCGTAATTTCACTTTGATCCTCTTTGACTAGCGCAGTGGTAAACAAAATCCACCTGTGGCGGGGTAGGGTAGGGAACTCTCTGCTAGGTGGCCTTGGGCGAATCCTGCATGTCAACTGCCACGAAACGATTCAATGCGACAGACTTTCGAATAGAAAAAGTACCGTATGAAACTCGATGTAATGGGTATTAATACAAGAGTGTGTTATAACGATACGAGCGAGTATCGCAAACTTCACACGAGTGTGTATAAATACCCATCATTGCATCATCGTTTCGCACTGTCCTGTCATGGCTGCAGGTGGCGGCGAGCGAGGCGGTGGTGCGCGCCGTCGCCGCGGCCGCGCCCGCCCTCCTCCGCGGCGGCAAAGGGGCGTCCGCGCTGCAATCCGCCGCCAGCGAGGGCCGCGAGAGGGCTCTGGCCGCGCTGCTCGCCGCGGGGCTGGACCCCAACTCGCGGGCGCCCTGGGCGCGCGTGCTGCCGCTGCACGCCGCCTGCTCGCGGGGACACGTGTCCTGCGTCCGCCTGCTGCTGGAGCATGGCGCGGACGCCAAAGCCCAGGTACTCGTACTACTTTCTCGCTCGACTGCAAGCCTGCCCAACCCGCGGCACGCGTGTGGAGTACGCCACGTGAAATGGTGCGACCCGGTCGACGATTTTATACTGCAAATATTGAAACTTTTATTTATGAACAAAAGAAATTATTAAAGAAATTGCAATTTGTTTGTGCTTCCATTAGCAAAATGCCTCACAGCAAAGTTGTTAAAACTTCCAATAGCTTGTTTAGAATTTTTCGTGAGAGCATTGACGGCAATACAATGGTGTTATAATACGACTCGCGTACTTGCGGCAACTGACTCTCACCTTTTAATGAAGCTCGCGGAATTCGGCTCCTAAAATACAATAAAGTACAATGTTGTCAGCACAAGTAAAAACATTGAGAATTTGCTTAGATGTGTGTTTTTACCTCAAACGACCCTTTTTTTTTACAAAGAATAATTATAAGTATTTTCCCTAAGTATTTTCAGAAGCTGTTCTAATATGCTTTCATGGAAGGGAAGGCACTTTGCATTTTTCTTGTGGATATTTTGTGTACTATCCACCTTGAAAATAGTCACAAGAACTTATCTAACAATAATATTTTTCCATTCTCACATTCTACGTACATAACATACATAAAGTTTGTAACATTGCAGTGAAAGCGGCGATTTTCAGACCGAAAATTATTATAGATCCATGACAGAAAAATAGCATAATTCTTGTTAGATACAATTTTAATTTTTAAAGTTCTTTTTTGTACACGTAATAAATAACGTCCTCTAATACACTAAGTAGTCGGATATTACGGTTTGTGGGTCTCTGTTACCGAAAATATTTAAAGTGACACTTCCTTCCGTCCGGCCGTGAAGGCTAGTGGCTTAATCGTTAGCAGGAGTTTCACCAAAATTGACATTCCGTGATCATTCTGCCTGATATTACAAACCCTTGAAATTAAAAAATATATTTTTGGATTTTTGGAGGTATTTTTCATGAAACCCTAATCAAATTTTCATTTTCTATTTTCAAAATTTTCTGAGAAATGGCTCCGTTTCAATTTTTTCTAGGATCGAACAAAGTTCATTTTGAAACATTGCAAATGTATACATTTTTTTCAGCTTTTTTCTACACCTACAATATTGAAGTCAAAGAAGTTCTTACTGATATCTATTATAAAAAAATCATATTTAAATAAAGTTATCCACTTTTGTTCCAAAATATAAGTCGTTTTAGCGTATTTTTACGTGAAATAATGGCAATTGAATAAACAATATTTTCTTTCAACTGTTCGAATGGCTGGAGATAAATGCCACGAATAACATGAATTAAACGTTTTAATGGAATCTTTTAATTTTCAAAAATTTCACAGAAGTATGTTTTGATGTAGTACTATAATATTAACTAAAAGTTTCAAGTAATGCCACAAAGTACGTTCTGATGTAGCACTACTAGTTTCTGTCTTCGAAATTTAATAAGCTTCTCTTTACTACTCAGGTGGTTGATTCCATCACAGCCCTGCACTTCGCAGCAGCTGTCAACAGCGTGGAGTGCGTGGAGTTGCTGCTGCAGCACGGAGTGGACATTAGCGCCAGTGATTCCATGGGCCGAACGCCTCTCTGCTACGCCGCAGAGACAGGCGCTGCGGAAAGCTTGCGGGTTCTCGGGGCGAGAGGTGCCGATCCCAACATGACGTTCTCAAGACAAGTCACCCCACTCTTGTTGGCCGCTAAGGGCCGCACGGAACTACACTTGCCCTACCACACCTCTGCTCCCGAACCGCCCGCGGACTACCGGGCGTGTGTAAGAGAACTGATTCGGTTGGGAGCAGACCCGCAAGTCGCAGACGAAGACGGTTACAACGTTCTCTATTACGCTATTAAAAATGGAAGTAAGGACCTATTCGTCTATCTTACTGATGGGTTAATCGATGTTTCAAGCAAATCGAGTAAAGGAGAGACTCCTTTACATTGGGCGGCACTTTGGGCGAAGACGGAATTTATGCGTGATCTGGTAAGGGCTGGGATCGATATCAACAGCCGACGGAACGATGGAAAAACTCCTCTGCATTTAGCAGTTGACTCTTATAAAAAAGACTGTGTTGGCCTCCAAGAAATTCTCGATCTAGGTGCGGACGTTCACGCCCAAGACAACGAAGGATGGACGGCGCTTCACCTCGCCTGTAGCAATAACGTTAAAGAAATGATCCCCGTTCTCCTGCGCGCCGGAGCAGACGTAGCGTCGACCACCAACGCGGGCGAAACGCCGCTGCACGTGGCCTGCTGGACCGCGCACGCCGAGTGCGCGACGCAGTTGCTGGACGAGGGCGCGGCCGTCGACGCGGCGGCGGCCGACGGCAAGACGGCGGTGCACTTCGCCGCGCAGTCGTGGAGCACGTGCTGCCTGGAGGAGCTGGTGAAACGCGGCGCCGACCTGTCTGCCAGGGACCAGCAGGGCTGGACGGCGCTGCACTGCGCGGCGGACGCGGGCACCGGCGGGAAGCGGGCGGCGCGAAGCGGTGCGTGGCTTGCGGGGCGGCGCTATGGCGTGGACGAGCGGCACGGCGGCGGGCGACACGCCGCTGCCACCTGAGGTGGGGCGGGCAGGAGGAGTGCGCGGCGCAGCTGCTGCGGACTGGGCGCGGCTGGACGTGCGCAACGCCCAGGGCCGCAACGGCGCTGCATTGCGGCGGCCGGCCGGCCGCAACGAGCACGTGGTGCGCACCGTTGTTGCGGCTGGGCGCGGTCCTGGGACGCGCGCGACGGCCCCAGGCCGCACGCGCGCTGCACGTGCGGCGGCCGGCCCCGGCCGATCACGTGTTGCGCAGTTGGCTGCTGCGCTGGGCGCGGCGTGGACGCGCGCGCGACGCCCAGGGACCGGCACGGCGCTGCACGTGCGCGGCCAGCCCCGCCCAGCAGGTTGGCGCGCGCTGCTGGAGGCTGGCGCCGACCGCGCGGCGCCGCGATGCCCAGGGCCACGGCCGCACCGACCACGCGCCCGACCCCGACATGCGACCTCCTCATTCGCCGCTGGCCGTCGCCGCGTAGGAGCCGTCGTCGGACATGTGCGCCTGTAACGTTTGCTAAGGGCGGCTTTCCATCGGGGCGCGCGAGCGGCGAACGACTATTCCCTTTCAAGGAGCACGACGCCTATTCGAACGCAGCCCCCGGCCGAGCCACGCCGCACGTGCCGCCGTGGAAGGGGGTGGGGTCTGGAAGGGGAGGTTTCGCCGACTCTCCGGCGAGACGAACAAAGGACCGGAGCAGGTAGAACGGCTTGCGGCCGCTGGCGCAGTGGGTACGCTCCCATTTTAGGCTGTGTTCTGCTAAGGTGGCGCGTGGCCCCTCCTCCGCTTCGCGGTAGCTGGAGTTCGGCGTCGGTGCCGCAGCAGCCGCCACCCGCTGCACGTGGGAGGCTCCATTCAAACCAAGATGCTCTGCTACGCGCCGTGTGAAGGGCCCTTAACGGCCCTTTCCACGCCCCCCACTGGCAAAGCACGCTTTTGTTAAGTGCAGGCCCTCCCACGCCCCCAAACGCCGCGCGCCCGTGGAGGGGGACGACAGAATGCTATTCTGGAGACATGCGAAGCTATTAAGGGGATCGATGTTGAAAGAAAACACTGGGGCAAACATTTCGCAAATTTATCTAGTGTCAGGGATGGACTCTGACAACACTGAGAGTAAGTACGGCAAAGAAAAAATTAGCAGGAAATGGCTCAAGAAGTGAGCTGGACCATCTCAAAAGAAGAATGGCCATTTGATGGAAGCCATGTTTCAACTTTTTTGATGACCATAATCAAGACCCGCAAAAGCAGTAATTTTAACTCATAAGGATTGTAAGGGGAGCTGACCACGATTCTGCAGACAGTGAAGTGCACTTTGTTACAATAGGAAGGCTAACAACGGCAATGAACTGTCTTCTCTATTCCAGGGGTAATTACCGTCACTTCCTGTAGGTCTACGCAAATGAAAACACACGTTAGTTTATCAATAGATTATTGAATCAAATTTTTTTCTTCTTGTTTTCCGTTGCCAGGCTGTTGCGGAAGCTATAAGGTTTCGCAAACTCTTCTAAAAAAAGAAGCAGACTAGAGGAGAAGGAAGCCATTTGCCAATTATTGGAAAAACTTGGCTTAATGCTGAAGAGATAGAGAGGAAATGACGCAATTAATAATGAGAATGAAAAGGATTACGAGCGAGAAAATGTTGTTAATAAACATAAATAAAAATACAACAGTGATATATACTTCATTTTTTTTTTAAATATGATTTACCCTTTAATACATAATTCAACTTGACCCTCCAAGATCCCAGCAGGTAAAATTAAATACTCAGCCACTTGGTCGCGCAACTGAGTTTGTATGCCGTGTCAGCATTACCGGTTCCAATTCTAAAATTAAATTCTGTAATGGCCCCGTCATCCTGTGGCACATGCCATCTTTCAGATTTCCTTCTACAACCTTACCCATCCACCTCTTGTCTGGCATATAAAAATGGACATCGGTTTTGTTTCCTGCCATATTTTCAGAATACTACAGAAAATTGTGAGACACACTGTCGCTTTGAATAATGTTATCAACAGTTTTCTGGTTTTGCCATTGATAACTCGATGAAATATTCTACACTGTGAAACCATTTTCAAAGGTATTTTCATATGACAGCCAGGCACGTATAGGCGATAATTGAAAAATGTTTGTTACTCACATTGGCCATGATGCTTCTGAAAAGTAGTTTCATTTAGATTGTTTTTTAAGGGGAAGTCTGCATCACCTACAAAATAATGAGGCATAGCATCTGCTGCATTTAGAAATGTAGCAGGTGGAGGGACTGGAAGCAAATTATTATTCAATTTTGGCCAATTTAAATGTGTGAAAATGCAATGTCACTCCTGTGATCCGTTAAGCCAATATCCACATGTGTAATCAATAATTGCATCACAACACAGCCATGAGAAACTATACTAAAATGTTTCTTAAATTAAAAACATTGTGATCCACTATTTGCTGGGATTTCAATGATGGACATGCTTGCCATCAATCGCACCAATACTATAGGCAAATTCCAAGGTTCCAACCAAAGTGTTCTGCAATTCGAGTGTAATCTCCTCAGTTGGCATGAAGGTATTTCTCCGATACACTGCATTCCACATTGCACATGTGGATTTCGCTTGAATAGATTTTTCAATGTGGAAATTTCAACGCAAGAGAGGGAATGGATTTTCCATGTCCAGAATCTGCACAACAAATAAAAAATATATTGTAATAAAATATGGTATATAATGCCATGTATTTAACAACGGGCAACTAATATTGCTTGCAAGCAAAATGAAGTGGCAGGTAATATTGCAGGGAAGAAACATTGCTACAAACTTTAAGAAATTAAGTAGCCGCGTTGGATATCGTAAAATATTTGCTGTCTGTCGGCCATCAGTTAGCACCTCTCTTAGAAATTTTTATATACAATCACTTGGCTTTACAGTTTGTAACCTTAAAGGAGACTCAAAGTGGTCATGGTGTATTGTAACGTACCAGAATCTGTGTTAATAGAGTTGAAATAAAGTATACAGATTTAAACATCTTGGAAACAAATAGAGATGGCAGATGTTTGAGTCCTGCGAGGATAACATTGTCTAATTTGCTTGGCTTTTTTTAAAAATTATATAAAAATTTCGTATTATGGATGCGTGGCTCAATATTTTGACAAAACGATTGTGTTTGTGACTGATTAATATTGTCAAATTAATATGGAGATTGATTGTAACTACTAATAAAAAAACACATACTATTGGCAATGATACAACTCCCTCCGCGTACCTTATTTAAGAAATTCAGCTCAGAGTTATGGCCATAGTTGCATGCCTGCTGGTCGAATTCACGAAAAGCTCTCTTTTGAAAAAATGAGAAGGTAACTCTAAAAAGATGTCAAACAACTTTGGCATCATCGCTCCATGTACGTAAAAATTGGTACGAATCCTATCCCCTCATTTCCTTAATCGAAATACTGTAGTCCCCTTGTTCTTCCGTCTTTGCATTCAAGGGATGGAATGAACCCACCAAACGCCTTTCCTCTGCGCCTACTTCGTCATTTTTAAATAGAGAGCCCCTAAAAGTATAAGCTTGTAGAAAAGTTTTGCAAAGCACAACTGCTCGCCCCACATCTCCATGGCAAAGTGGGTTTTAAAGTAATTTGGCAGACTTGATTTTAAAGATTCAGAATACACAGCTATACGCATATAACCACAACAAGGTAGGTTACAACAGCGCCAGCTGATCTCACATACGAAAGGCTTAGATTAGGAAAGTCGAAGAAAAGGGTAGAAGGAAATCGATCAATAGTCGAATCTGATGCTCAGGGCAAAACTACGTTCCAGTTTACGTTCGTCCATTGCGAATGCTTGTTTTTTCGTGAAAAGCTTACGGCATTGCGTTATGGTTAAGGTTTGCATTGTAAATGAGTCATCAGATGGCCGACAAAGACCACGGGTGGGCGGACATTCGCGCAGGCAGAACCAAGACAGGGTTCAGGTGGCTCGTCCGTCGTCGTGTGAACGCTGCAATTAGATCTGTGGTTCTGCTACGCGGTGGCGTTTATCGCGCTTGTGCGCTTGTCCGTCACGAGCACTACGGAGCGCGTCTCTGCACCGTGTGATTTATTATTATTATTTTATTTATTTTATATTATCTATTTTATTATTAATTTTTATTTATCATCATATTAAATGGTCTGTTACAAACCTTAAGACTAGAGCCTACTGTTTTCCAGGAAAGTTTCCACGGCTCGTGCCTGTGCAGTTTTCGTGAGTAAACTATGCACAATGAATGAGTTTACACATTAAGCGCGGTATTTCCACTACTATTTTAAACCAATTGTCGTGTAATTTGTCGTTAAATACAATCTATCTTTTAATATTGATATTGTTTGGGCTACAACCCATTCACTTGTTTCTTTCTTTATTTCCACAGATCAGCTTGTTTGAAGGGGACCTCGGATGACCCTCCTGCATGCCAGCCAAACTAATTAATTTCTATTCGCTGACTCCAAAAGTTGTCCTCCATCTTTTTTGTTTGTCTTCTTGGATTACGCCATCCGCATTCTTGTTCCCAAGTTAGTCTACCTGGTTATCCTGTTGTCTTAAGACATAACCTACCCATTTTCCATTTTGAGTCAAGGCTTGATTCTGTTACATCTCTCTTCAAAGACCACGTTACATGCATGGAAATAAATAGAACAGGAAAAACAAATAATAGAGATTCATGTATTAGAGTTTATAATGATAATATTTATTGCATGAGTATCATGTTTTAAAAATCGACCGACTTTTAGCGAGTTTTCAATTTGGGTACGAATGTTAATTAAAGCAGCATTATAAACGAATTGCATTACGATATGTTTTTGTGTTTAACAGCATTATACATTTTAAAGAGAATCAAACTTCATTTGCGAAAACAACTTCCCTACGACTCGAGTATTTGACATGTGCGAAGTAAATGGTGGCCGGCAGTTCGGTTTAGCTTACCTCCACCCGATTCTTCGCGCTACGATTGTAATTGTATGCAAATCATTCGTGACATAAAATCTAATCATCATTTGGGCTAATACAATGGCCGACTATGAACGATTTTTTGCAACAGAAAAAGTTCTTTATAATGCTGGAATAACAAAAAAAGATATTATAGGACTAGTGTGAACAGTAAAACCCACCACTTTGCTAGCTGACCGCGCCCCTCGGAAGCACTGGAAGCTTGAGTGGCGGCGTATAAGGGGACCCCACGCCGACTGCCGCTACTTATGTTCCATTTTTCCGTCAATTTACACCCTGAAAGGAACCCAACCTACAGGCGCACACAACGGCCCATCCAACTTGCCACATAGGAAAACGTTCGCATCCCTAAGTTTACCCGAATCATTCATCACCTGAAACGACCCAGAGGCAGCAACCGTTTGCGTATCTTCTGAACTGATGACCCTAGTTTATCCATGACGGTGGCGGATTATTGTCACTAGCTACACTGGGAGTCTTCCCTGCTGTTCTGAAGGTGAATTCTAATGACGGCTGCTTTGAAAAAAAAAAGGTTAG